AAAATTAAATTTTAATTTATTAATTATTTAATTAAATTTATTTACTTAGTACTAAAATTAAAATAATATTAATTTTACATTTATATATATTTATATTTATAAAGGTGTCTTTAACATATATTATGAAGACATATTAAAAAAAATCTTTAATTAATATTATTGCATGTTGAAGTTTCATGTGCTCTTTGGCAAAGAAAATATTGCATGGTTAGCATCACCAAAACATAAGATTCAGGATGGAATACATGGAATAGTTTTTTCCTAAATATATGGGACATTTGAATTAATTCCTAACCTTTATCTTATTACAATTATGGGAGTTCTTTTATATAACATGTGTAATCAAATTTTTAATTCAATTAATTTTATGAAAATAATGTAATTGTAATATTACGTAATGTTATAAACTTATAATATATATGATGTGTCAATATGTAATTAATTTTTTAATTTAAAAATCCAGTTATTATAAGTGCTTATAAATTACTGTGTTCAAAAGTATTGGCCTCCACTTAAGAGTGCCTAGCATGATCTTAACACTGTGACAAATTTACAATGTACATTGTATGTGGCTATCACACCAGCACCAAATCAAACTTTTTAATTACATTGTGGATTTTGGGGAAATTAATCCACTATAGTTAGAAAAGTCAAAATATTCGGACAAATAAAGTCCTCCAAAGCTGGCCAAAGTGTTTGAAATTTTATCAATTAGCCTTCTTTGTCATAGGGGACCCTTATTGCCTTTGCCTTGTGCAATACATATATATCTTGACGTTTTAATAATCCCCCATACCCATGGCCACATTTTACTACAAAATAGTATTCAACTTGGACACGCATGGCCAGTCCATGATTCGTGGGATCGATCCATTTGTTCAAACTTTGAAATTTCGAGATCATGTAAAAAGATTGAAATGAGGATACTAGCTAGGGCTAGAGACATCTTCACAGCTATTGATTTTTTCCCACTCGTTTTATGGGACCCCGGATAAAAATTTGAGGTCCCAATTAATTATCTTTCGAAACTCAAAGATTATGAAGAGAACTAAATCTGCTTAGAACTTATTACACTTATAAGTAAAGTTGTTAATTAGTTTTACTTCTTACAAATTAAGAGTTCGTCCATCCCAAAATTAATTACATCATTCTATTATTTAGTTCTTTCTAAAATTACCTAATTTTAATAAGCATCCTTCAAACTTATTTTAAAATTATATAATTTTTATGAGAGATTACAAAGAATTTATTAAAATAATATAGTTTGGCAGAGATGAGAGACTTATAATTTTGAAGGGGCTATTTGATTTACTTGATCCCTAAAATGGAGTATGGAAATCTCTTGCCAAAATAGTCCAAGCTTAGTCCCAGCTTTTATCTTTTTGTTCCTTATTATATAAAGTTACTAGGTCAATTTTATTTATCACACTTTTTACTTAACATAATAATAAAAAAATTACAAAAATTCATAAAAATGTAATTACTACTATTGAGGAGCACTTTGTTTTAATTTATCTTTGGTGATATCTAAGGCACAAAAAAAATTGGACGTGAAACTAGAAGGGGATAAGGTCGACGAAGGCAGGACAAATGAAAGGTGACTAAAGGTTAGTGACCAATCTCAATCAGCGACCTGAAAACTGACAAAATTACGGCATAATAGGGTTGGGATGAGAAAGAGGGAACGAGTATCATATTTTTCTTCTAATTTCCTTAAAATGGGCTTTGAATTGTGTTTTAGTGAATGAAACTTCTGCATAGGGACCTAACAAACTGTGATTTAGTTGGTAATGATTTAATTTTTATTTTGGTGATCAAGAATTATTTTTTGAGAACAAAGTAATTTTTCACTAATTTTTCAATCTTAGTGTTAATGTTCTTCCATTGATTGGACCAAAAATTAAAGAATGAGTAATGAAGTGTGCACAAATTAATTGAAAAATAAGCTTATGGTTTTAAAAAAGAAAAAGAAAAAAAAAAGAACTTTTTCATAGGGTCAGGGTCTTTTTTCTGTCTTTGATAGCCGCTTCTTGTGGGACAAATATATCACCGACCGCCTATATCTGCTCTACAGTCTACCATTTTTTCCTAAGGCCACTTAATTCCCTTTTTCATCTCCATACCATAGATTCCCCTCCAAAAGGCATGCCTTTTGCACATCTCAATTTCATAGACGTTGATCATTAATCTCAACTCAAACTAAGCAGAAAGAAATGAAATTGATGTGTACATACTACATAATTCACGATACTTACTAAATTAGCCAAAAACAGAAAAATTGATAAACCTTATTCAAGAGTTTTGTATTCATTGATTATAAAATTTTAATTAGGATTAAATTCAAGAGTTTAAACTTTTACATTACTACATATTAATTAATTTTTAATATACTTTATGTGTTCTACTTTTGTAAACTTTTTAAATTAGGACATTAAAATCTAATTATTTATTTATTTTTCTTTTAGCATGTCGTTTAATACATTGATTCCTATTTTACTTTTGTTTAAAAAATAGAGAAATATTTTTTTATTATACAATTTAAGATTAAAAAAAAAAAAGAGAAATAAACTTGGATAGAGTTTGTAACAAATTATAATAAGCGTACAAATAACCGATTCCAAGTAGCATAACCGGTAAGAATAACCAACTTTCCCAGAAAAGCAACCTTCGGCCTGTAGATTTGAGTTCTTAGTTCTTCACAGACGTCCTTTGTAAAACACCTACAAGCGATGCTGGGTTGGCACAATCCAGACACATATCCGAGATTGTGCCGGTGCCAAACACCATAAAAAAGCTAGACAACAAGATTTTCTCATTTGTCCATACTCCCAACCATATTCCACGTCAGTTGGGGAATAGGTCGGTAACCGTTTGGTTGACGGATTAGACTCATTAGAGTGAATGCAAAACTAATATATCATCTATAAATTTAATGTGCGAAGAGGATAAATTGAGAAAAGTAGAGAGTTAGTTTATATTGTATAATTCACCATTAGATATATCATAAAGGTGGCCAAAAAAATCAAATATACCATGCAAAAAATAAATTTAATAATATTTCATCCATTTAGATTTAATTGTTTTACTTTATCTATTTATGATTACCAAGAAATTTATTTATTATAATAATGAGTACTTGTCTTTTCATTTTCACCCTAACTTATAATTAAAGAAAAAAATCAAAGACATTTCTATCTCTTTTGAGATAAGGTAAAATTAAAATATTAACATTTAATATGTTATTAAAATAGAAAGTAAGACAACTAAATCTAACCAGATAGAATAATTAATTAGTAATTTTCAAATAAATAATAACAATTAGCTCTAGTTCGCTACATATCTCCAGTGTTTATAGGCCTTGAACAGCTTTGGTTTGGTACTTTGGTAGCATAATATTTTCATAAAGTATGAAATATGAACATTTGGTTTATTGGTTTCAGGTGCTGGAATTTGATTATTTGTGGTTGGTTAGGACAAGGCCCACGAGTGGATTAAACTAACCATGTATAAGGCAAAGATCAGATTTTTACCTTACTTTTAGTTAGGTTTAACCCTGGAACTCCTTTAACTCTGTCTTTAGGATTATTAGTTCCATAATATACATTTATGTGTCTTAACCTATAAACTTCATGTTATTGCTATAATTAGTTTAAAATAGATGGAATTCTATTATGTGAGTCACGTGGCAATTGTCTCTACTCCATTATCCTATTGTCGTTAGTGCAATATTGGCATAAACATGCTCCACTTGGACACATGGGGGTGAAAAAGTCCTACCCAAAGCACACATGGGTCTCATCTTGAGCAGGATGTTTCCCTCCTCCATAAGTTCTAGTCAACCATATATATTTATACTAGCATAATGTTGACAATGATAGGATAACGGAGTAAGGTGATGACTTGTGTGATGGGATTTCTTGAATTTTAGGCCAATTACAGTAATAACATAAAGTTTATGGACTAAACTATACAAAGTGTGTGTTGAGGGATTAACAATCTCAAAGATAAGAGTTAGAGGGGTTTCCAAGGTGGTTGTGCCTTTTAGTAATCATTGAAATGAACCCAATACTTTATTTTTTTAATAAATCCCTCATATTTAAAGTTGAATAAAATTATTTTTCCTATATTTCAAGTGAAATAAATTAATCAAAATTTAATGGATGATGTAATCATAATTTATCATTTTGACTGTCCCTTTCAATACTTGTTAAGCTCTTGTTAATTAGGCAATCTTGGGCATATTTTTCTAATGGCATGTCAATTTTTTTTCTTGGTATCAAGCTAGCTACTAAGATGGCTACCAAAAAAGAGTAAACAATCTCATCTCACTACTTGTAAAGAAAATGATCTATCATAGAAAAATAGGCACAAGATTGTCAATTCAACAAGAACTTATCAAGTATTGAAAGTGAAAAATGGAATGATGACACATTATATGTTAAATTTTGGCTAATTTATTTGAACCAAAATATAGGAGTGTTAATTTTATTTAATCAAAAAGTACAAGCAAAAATCTATTTTAAGAAAAAGTATAAGAATTCTTTTTAATAATTAAGAATATGATCTTTGCAATTTTACTAATCAAGACTACCACTTTTAAAAGTTTCTAATTAAGGTTATAACCATGCATATCCATTTAATTAATTCTCCTTTAACAAAATTGCAAAGATCATATTCTGGATTAGAAACTTTTGAGAAGTGATGATCCTGATTAGCAAAGAAAAAAAATGTTATATTCTTAATTAGAAACATTTTAAAAAGTTATGTTTTTATTTATACAAAACTTTTAAGAAAATGTTTAGATAAGGATACAAACATTTTAACTTCTAAATCCGGCGGTAAACTTTAATTTTTTTAATATTTAAAATTACAAACTTTGTTCTATTTCGATTAAAATGATCATTTGCTACATATAATCATTACCATTCAATAAATCCTTAAATAGAAAAGAATGTAAAGTTTGTATCCTTATTTTAAAAAGAATTAAAGTTTATATCTTAATTTAAAAAGTTAAAAAGTTTATATTTTTAA